AGGTGGGGTCTGCTACCACCCTCCTGCCTCGTGTTGCAGCCCCGGTTGGGGGATTGGAATGTTTGGTGAAGAAACCCCCCACCATAAAAAGGTGGCCAAGTTTGGATAACACTGCCTTATGCAATATACAAACACTTTGCAATGCTAACTACTTAAAAAGCCACGCACAAGAAGAATCTAGCAAGGCACGGCAAAGCACTGAAAAATGTCACTTTACAACCTGGAATGAGGGTGGAATAAAAGCTACTGGAATCAAATAATCTGTTGCTTCCTGGAGAAAGCAACAACACCACAAACACCAAGGCATTATTACAAGGCAGCAGGAGTGGCCTGAAAATGCCAGTACTTATGAATTGTGCTGCTGATTCATACCAAATGTTTTATCTAGATTATTCTTTCTCCCATTTGTCCCCAGCACTTGACAACAGCACTGTAACTTGGTCCTCACATCCCACTGAGAGATGGTTTATTTAAGCATGGATTTGTTGAAAAAACCTAAAAATGATTGCTTCACAACCACAATGGCTGAGTCTGCAGATTGTGCTAGGCCTCAAATAACCAAACAACATTGTGGCTTACTGTAAGTATGAACTGATACATCACATCAGTCTGCAGCACTGCAGATAAGGGAAAATTTGGTGATAAATTTAACAGAATAATAGCAACATTAAGTTCTCCATTGAAGTAAGAGCACACTCGTCAGAAGTGATAGGTAAAACTGGAGTCCTTTAAAGTATTTACAGTATGTCACTTCAGTTAATCCAAAATACCAAGTAGAAGCCAACATTAAAAAAAAATCTAATATATATTTCATCCAGGGCCACTTCCACACCAACATTATTTCCACTCCCCAATCCTTCAAAAAACACTTGAAGACAATCCACCCATCTTCATTTTTGCAGGCCCTGAAATACTGTCAACAAGAACAAAGAATATCATTTATCATTGCTCTGCCCACAAACTGCTGTAGGCCCTCAAAAAGCAAAGATCCCTCCTCCTTCATTCATGCAAAATGAAATAAAAGGTATTATTTGCCACACATAATCCATGCGTCCAGGCCCTTACTCCACATTGTGTGCATCTGTTTGGTCATATGAAAGAAATATCTCAGTGATGCCTATGACAGGGAACAGCAGAACTGTCAATCAAACCTTCTCTCTGAAAGAGTTGTAGGATAGGAGGCAAGGTAGGCAGAAGTTCCTGCCAATGGGGAGTGGACCTACAGCATTTCAAAAAAGGAGAATAAAACCACAGTGTTTAAAAAAAAATGCTAGTTTTCTTGCAGTTTCAGATACAATGCAGCTAATCCTAAAAATGACAAAAACAAAAGCACTCTTCTTTGCTAACTTGCCGGCAGGCAGATTTTTGCAGCCCAGGAAACCCTACCAAAAATATGCTGGCCTCACTGCCAAAGAGAAGGCAGTGAGAAATCACATGGGAGTGGAGCTACATCTGGAATGGGGCCAAAAAATTCCTCATGGACCCATATGGAAATCCTCAATCCTTTTTACAGCTCTAACTTATTTGAATAAATGGAAACAACCCCATAAGGTTCAATCCAGTTTATTCTGAAAATCCACAGAATGGGAGTCTTGAGAAAAATATCATGTAAATGTATTCCAAATTAATTGAACTAGACCAGTGTTTCTGAACTTTGGCAATTTTAAGATGCATGAACATCAACTCCATAGCTGGATGGGGAATTCTGGGAGTTGAAGTCCACACATCTTAAAGTTGCTGAGGTTGAAAAACACTGTTCTATTAGAATGGCTTGCACTTCCAATGGGTTGCAGTATTGTTGGGCTGTTGTGATACTGGAATACAGGTATCACTGTAGAACTTGCAGAGAAGTTATCAATTATATATTTTACCAGAAATGCCATTCTTTGAATTATGGATTATGACCTCATAAAGTGACTACCTTAATCTTAGTTTGAGGAACAGCAGGAAAAGAGTAAGCCTTTTCCCCACTGAAAGATATACTAGAACCCAACTTTTTTGGACCTTGAGGAGCTAAAGGAGGGTTTTCAGACTGGGAAATACTAACTAGAAAAGACAAGAAGAACAGTGGCCATACACTATGTTTACCCAAGTTTCAGACATCCCCACCAATAAAAGAAATATTGGGAATCTAAGAGGACCGTCCCATTCTCAAGTTAAATTATTTGGAGGAAAAATAATCTTTGTTTCAAGTAAAGAAAAAGTTGATCCACCAAGAAAGTAGCAGGCTGAGGTTTACATCTGCACAGTGGTCTACATCTGCACATGAGACCTACATCTGCACAGAGGATGCTAGCTAACTGCACAGAAGAGCTAACTAAGTTCAATGGGATTTACTGTTTACTAATAGTTTGACAGCATCACCAGAACAGCATAGCGGTGCCAAATATGCTTTATCCCCATGACAGCCTGATCTGTTTTCCACACCATAAAGAAACACAGAGCAAAGAGAATCAGGGCAGTGCATCCAGCAGCTCTTCCATGGTCACAGCCAGGACTGGCTTTCACTTAGGAAAGACAAATACTCTGGTCTACTAATTTGAGAATTACAGTCCAATTTGCAATCTACATCCATTATGGTGGGGAGGGAGGGAGTTTCCAATAA